GGCGTTGCTGTGACCCCAGGGCAGCATCCAGCCCTTGGCCGGGTTGACCCTCAGCCCACTGGCCTCAGCCCATGGCTCCAGCCTGGCCAGACCCCTCTGCAGAGCCCCTGACCCTCCAGCAGATCAACACCCCACCCAGCCTGCTGTCACCTCCAGACTGACTGAGGGTGCCTCCATCCCCTCACCCAGATCATGGATGAAGTTCTTAAACACAACTGTGAAGACTCAGCAAAACTATTTAAAGCAAGGGCTCATCACCCCAAATCTTGGCTCCTGGGGAACAGCAAATGCTGTAGTGTCAAACATCCCCTGAATTTTACAAAGCCCAGATGATGCAAGGTGCTGCAGGACAGTCCTTGAGGCTGAAGGGTGGCAGCAGAGCAAGTTCCAACTGCTGTGCTGGCAGTTCTGTCCTAGGCATCCCCTGGGGGACTCGAGCAGAGCCTTTAGGCTGCAGACCCCCTCAAACCAAGGGGGCTTTGCCAGCACTACTGAGGGGGTTTCACCATTGGTACCAGCTGAATTAGTGCTAACTGGAAAGGAAACCACCTCAGGAACTGGGTCAACACAGGCCTGGGCTGCAACAGCGACAGCTCCGTGTGCAGGTGAAGCCATCACCTGAGGAACTCCCTGGGTATTAAATAAACCTTTTTAAGGAGAAACTGAGAACTGATTGTACTCTATTTCCCTAAAATACAGCAAGTTTCCTCCCAAAATAGTACCCTCTTTTTCTACAACACGCTCAGAAGATCCTAAAATACCCTAAAATACAAGAAAATGGAGATTAATGAAAACTGTAACAATCATCAGAGTAGAAAAAAACCACCAAGCTGCCAAGAAATGAATAAAGCAGCCCTAACATGAAGGGCCCAGCTCGAGCTGCTTACCTGGAATCATAATGCTGGAGACCCAGGGTGATGGTGTAGGAGACCACCCGCTTCCTGTTATAGAGGTTCACCCCACTGTACTTCCCAGGGAGCCCAAAGAGCAGATCTGCAACAACACAGGTCACCAAACATCAGGACAAGGACAGAGTCAGCTGAGGAGATGGGACACAGGAGGTGCTTGTGGTGAGGAACACTGGATGAGAGCTCCTGTCCTTAGGGGAAGCACCTTCTCGGTGTGATTTCATCAGTGTGGACAAATCCTTGATGCAGGGGAGTGAAGATGGAGCATCTCTCCTCAGTGGTGCCCAGTGACAGGACACAAGGCAATGGGCACAAATTAAAACATGGGAAATTCCCTTTAAACACAAAAATCCTTCCTTTCCTGTGGGGACACTGTGTGTCCTTCCTCCTGATCAGACAGTGTAGCAGACAAGGTCTGTGCTCTAATCCTAACCCAGGAGCTCTCAACTGGCTCACCACCCATTCCTAGGCAAAGCTCCAGGTGTTCCTGCTGCCAACTCACATGAAGGACAACTCCTCACCCTCCCAGCCTGTCCCTCCTGAGGAATCAGGAAGAGGAATTTGGTTGGAAGAGCTCTGTAGGCTCATGGAGTCCAACCCTCTCCCAGCCCTGCCAGGTCCCCACTGCCCCGTGTCCCTCACCCCACATCTCCACAGCTTGGGAACCCCTCCAGGGGTGGGGACTCCACCACTGCCCTGGGCAGCCTGGCACAGCCCTGGGCAACCCTCCAGGGCAAGAAATTGTTCCTCAGGGACAACTGAAACCTCCCCTGGGGCAAATTGAGGCCCTTTCCTCTTGTCCTGTCCCTTGTCCCTTGGGAGCAGAGCCCGACCCCCCCCTGGCTCCAGGCTCCTGTCAGAGCCTGTGCCCACCCCCAGCAGCACTCCAGTACTGGCAGCTCTGTGAGCTGGGTGAGGTTGCACCCTCCAGCTGCACACCTCTAACTCCTCCAGTCTGCTCCCAGTGCTCTCATCTGTTCCCACACAGGCATGTCAAGGGGCACCCAGTTTGTCCTTCACCAGAAGAGACAGGCACTATCTTCAAGGATGCAGGCAAAGAAATCCTTGGAGCTTTGTTTCTGTGCATGGCAGTGTGTGATTTGAAACAGAGGTTTCAGGAAGACTTTGCACTGCAAAGGGCTGTTTGATGTCCTTCTTGCAAAGAACAGTTTAAAGACTCTTCTGTAAATCCTGTGTGCTAAAATTCAAGCTTAAAAAAAAACCCCGGCATCACAATGAACATTGCCACTGCTCTCAGGAATTCCCAGGATATTTTGAGCCTCTATCCACAAAAAGAGTGGCCCTGTGTGCTCCAAGCCACAACGTGCACACGCTTGGGATGCTCAAAAAATAACCTTAAAACCAACTCACTTTAGGGTTACAAAACCCCTTCTCAAGCATGTCAACTTATAGGCTTCCTGACACCTACAAAATCCCTGTAAAACCAAAGGAA